CACCCCTTTGAGATGACGTACGGCTTTCTGGTATAACTAGTATCCTGCAAGGAAAAAACTATGTGGTTTATTGGTGTTGAAGTAGAACATGGTGCACCCCACCTAAGTAGACTGCGAGTAGTCCCTCTTTCACTTAAGGTCGGCGCGCACAAGGGGACTAGCCCCTGTGACTAGTCCAGCAACAAGTCGCGGGGACAAATCTCATCGTGTGACCTGGCCATTTTTGCTTCAAAATCTAGTCGCACGGACCAAGTTGGTCCCTGCGACTGGTCCCACGAATTCAAACCAGTTTGAATTCTTGGGAAAAGTCCCTGCGACTTGTTGCTCAAAACGCTTAGTGTGAACTGTATGTGGGCCAAGTCCCTGCGACCAGTCCCTTCGTGTAAACTCTTCAGGGGACTAGTTGCAGGGACTTGTCCCCTCGTGTGTGCCGACCTTTAGTCCGTCATGCGTGACGCGAAAGACAACCGCGAGAAAAAAATGGCTGCGCGAAATCCTGGGGGCGAGGAGCGCGACACGCACGACGGACTAAGCGAAAGAGGGACTACTTGAAGTCTACCACCTAAGAAAAATCCTGGATCCGCCCCTGGCAAGTGAACAAACTTGTGTCTCACTCTGTCCGGCTTGGGATCAACAGTCTTAAGAAGTGAATCACGCTATATGTAATACAGTTGCATCGCATTTCCAATTATGAAAGAAGAGAGTTGAATACATGGGACGCACATTGTGCAGTTGAGCAGAGAAGTTTTCACGAATCTAGACAGTCATTCATTTAGAAGAGGGTTAAGTAGCAGGAGGGTTTGTTTTCTTTCGCTTGATAACAGGAAGAGCGATCGACACTATGTAAATACGGCAGGGAAAAGCACGGCAATAAAATTCAGACATTCAAGATGAACTTTACCGGTGTGTGTGTGTGTTTTTTTCTTTTCTTTTATCTAATGACGCCATGATCAGGCATATCTCTGAGGGCGTTCTGATAACCAGAGTACCAGAAAATTCATTGATGAATTCGAAAAGAAAGAGGACCTTTTTGCGCATCCCTAGTCTCACATGACAGAGCGTGAAGGATATTCCGTGACTCTGCACTTGAAGTAGATACGTCTCGTGGCTGCTTATCTCAATGGATTTACGGAATCCAATATGGCGTACAAGTGATGAGGCTGATGTTTTAGCGAAACATTTCTTGTAGTGCCAATCTTACAGTTTTTAAACTGTTTTAAGAGCTTTTCACAGTATGTGGAAAGAATATCGAGAGCAAGATGTCTTTTAATTCGTTCGTAGGGTTTGTTTCAGATTCTGAAAACAATGCCGAGGGTATGCTATCAGAAAATTTAAGTTACAAACCTCTCCAGTGTTATGATCAGTCCATGCCAAGGTGTGCTTTCTCCAGTGATTATCAAAGGGACGTGCCGTTTGACCGTCGAGTGGCTTCGAGTAATCGTACTCATCGATACGCTCCTGAAAAAGTTAAGTCTGTTAAGGCTTGCATTGCACAGTGCTGGCGGCTTTGGACATATCGTGTAAGATAAAAAGCTCATTACCAAACTAAGACTTTTAAGTCTCTTTTACTAGTAACAATCAAATTAGTCCTGTATATTCGTAACGTAGACTGTTTAGTATTAAATCAATATGTTACGTTATGTTTTCGTTACATTACGAAACGTTATGTGATGTTATGCTACACCACGTTAGTTACGTTACGGTGCGTTACGTTGCGTTACGTATGTTATGAAAAGTTGCGTTATGTCACCCACATGTGCAATGCTGATCACATACCTTGAAATCCTCCCGGGCATGCGCTCCACGACTCTCCTTGCGAGCCTCGGCTCCATAAAGAGTCTGTTTGCAGTTGATAAGAAGGTTCTGTAGTTCTAGTGTTTCCACGAGATCTGTGTTCCACACCATACCGCGATCAAACAACTGGAAAACAAAATCATACAAAACAACATCAGCGCTGCTTGAAATAGCATTTAGTAAACAGGACACGTATTCCTTCGCGCGCTTGAATCTTTGCGCGCTTGATTCTTCACGCGCTTGATTCTTCGCGCGCTTTTTTTCTCGCGCGTTGTTTGGTCGTTGCTGTGACTTGAATTTTTCGCGCGCTAATTAAAAACCAATCAGAGACACGATACGCTTTTCTGTAGAGGTACGTCATTAGAATGGAATGTTTAGTGCCAAAACTCGATCTCTTGCAAAGAAACAGTTCACTTGTCTTGAAATTACAATAACGTCTACGTTTCCACTACAAGAACGAAAAACGTGGTCTTCTTTCGCAGTTGGAAACACGCGAAATAAGTTCAGAAAGTCTGTTTAATATCCATGTTTCTTGTTTCTTGTTTTATTTTTGCCATTTATAAATATAATCAAACACATCAATGTAAGTTATAGGCAAGGAAACCCAGAGAAGCCAATAGGACTTATGAAAAGGACTACCTTAAATACCCAAGTCTTAGCAAGAGAATACAAATGCTGTCATGCGATCGCACACAAAATGATCTTAATTTTGGATAAAAAATACCGTTCGAAACGACTAATTCGAACTCTGTTATTTCGCATTCGCCGTTATTTCGAACTCGTCATAAATTTCTTCGGATTTGCCCTTCAGTCATTTACTATCGGCTATTTCGAACTCCCGCTGTTTCGAACTATTTTTGGTTCCAAATAGCGAGGTTCAACTGTAGCTAAGCAAAACTAAAGGCGCGTTCTGGCTGAAGTTTCTAAATAACTGTGACACATGTACACCTAAAAATAATGTAAACACACAACGTTCACATTGGATAAAGCAAACTGGAGTCCCTTTGTTCAAGTATAATTTCTGTGAAGGTGTGTGAAACTTCACGTTGTATTTAAGATTTCCATTTCGTCTCAGAAAAATTAAGGCAAGAAATATTAGCATGTTCGTGTAATGTTTAAATGAGCTGTTACCTTAAGGTCTTCGGTCTGTTTATAGATCTCGTCAATCTTCTTACAGCCTTCCTCCAATACGGTACCAGTCCTAAACACAGCCGCGTGGGTCTGCATGATCTGGAAACGACAGGAAAGAAGGACACCTTATACGGGTGTTGTGTGTTAACGAGGTTTTGGGAAGGTTCATTAAACTTTACTCCGTCAGCTTTTTTAGATATTTTGACAACGTATAAAATTACCTTTAAGTTGAAGGAAACCTGAAAATAATAGTTTACTACGATAGAAAAACACCAAAGAGATAATAGTAAACCATAAAGGTACAAGGATGGTTAAGGATGGAGAAGATTAACACGGATGACAAACGATGAACTGAGCTAAACTTATCAGGATGCGCAAACCGTGACAAAGCTCCTTTATATCGTTAAAACATATAAGTGGTCTAACACAAATTTCAAAATCCTCCTGGGGGGTTACAGACTACTGTCGCAAGCCCGAGAAAGGGCAGAACAGAAAGAACTATAGAATAAGAACTCAAAGACGTTTTTTTTTCCTTATTTTCCCTCGGCTTGTGATGTAGTTCCTCTAGACAACTGTTGCTTTTGTTGCCATTGCTAGATTCCTTTTCGGCACCCATTACCTACCTTTTGCATGTTGAGTCTCAAATCCGCGGTTGGTGTACGTCCATTGGCATAGCGTATCTTGTCCAGGTTGGCCACGGACTCTTCGCCTGCATTCTGAAGGTACAAGAGACATATGGTCACCATCTTAACAAAGTCTAAAATTTCGCAAGTATTAACCTGGTCGCACGAAAACAGCATCCTAGAAGGTTACCCTGTAGGGACAGTGTTTCTGTCCCTACATTTTAAAAGCAAACGTATTATTTTCAGCTTGATGGCTAACATGTGATTGTCCCGTGCTTGACTCCAGTTTCTCCTCCAGTATCTCTTGAATGAAGCCACTAACAGTATTGCTAGCCCCTCCCAGGATGGGACAGTAATCTACCACATATTCCCCCTCCCCTCTCAGCATTTTGTCACGTTGCAAAAACAGTCAACTGGCATCGATTTAATCACCATGGCAACTAGAATGTCTTCCGTTACGACCTATAAAATCTCTCAATACGGAAAAAAAATTCGTTTTTATCTTACCACAGGAAGCTCCGGTATTGCATCAGCGGGCTTGTTAAACTTGGCAATGAAATTAGCGCATGCTCGTCCGAAGACCACCAGGTCAAGTAAGGAGTTGGCGCCCAGTCTGTTAGCGCCATGGACTGAAGCGCACGCGGACTCGCCGGCTGCCCAGAGGCCTGGTACGATTTCATCTTTACCGTCTTTCTTTGTCAATGCCTGCAATGAAGTTAAGGACACTAGTATGAGCGCCTGATATAGGTTTGGCCGGATGCGGGATGTGAGTAGAAATGAAGGCGGGATACGGATTGACAGGACTTTTAATAGCGGGATGCGGGATAAAATATTTCGACGGGAACGGGATTTACTCATTTTGAAAGACGGGATGTGGGATAGTGTTAAAATTTGTCTATTAAGCTCTTCACGTTTGCTGTTAGTAACCCGTCTCAGTGTTACAACTCCACTCAAAATACAGTGTAAAGATACTGCATGTAATATATCAAACACTAAAGACCGTGTTTGAACACATTTGCAAAAACCAAGAAGAGAGTGGAAAATATGACGCCAAGCGGAGTTCTTTTTGACGAACTTCGAGGTGTTTGGAAATATGGTCAAACACAGTCTTTCATGCTTGATATATCTTCTCAATTGAAACTAAAACTTAGTGGAAAATACAGAAATGAAATCGTAGAAGTCCAAACACCATCATGGTTGAGGTTTTCTTAGTTTAAAATTGGAAAATAAGTTTGAGAAGAAATATATTAAAATTCCGTAAATCCTCGAATTAGCACCCCCCCCTCGAATAAGCGCCCCTTCAATTAAGCGCCCCTCCTATCAGCCAAAATTTAAAATAAGTGCCCCCCCCTTCGAAGCACCCCCCTCCCCCCATTTCGTGGAAGAGTAATGAGACAACAAGGATGTATAGTTTTCGTCGTGTAGTATTAGATTTGTGCATTGTTTCAGTTTGTGAACACGTTACGTCAAAAAAAAAATTACAAGTACTAAAGGAGCTGTGATTTAAACTTTAGGATCAGCTTTTTATGTCAATAAACAGCTAGTGTTGCTGTTTATGCGCATAAGATGTACTAAAAAAATGATCATGTCAGGCCACAATTTGGGAAAAATTTAATAAGCGCCCCCCTCGAATAAGTGCCCCCGCCCCCGTCTTCTCCTAAATTTGAAATAAGCACCCCGGGCGCTAATTCGAGGATTTACGGTATCTCATGTGTAATCTTCTCGTGATGCTCAAGACTTGTTTGTTACAGGGTAGCCTACAATTATACAGGGCTTGTTGGAATTTTATGGAACATGTATATTTACATGGATGCTATCAATGTCATCATCTACCAACTTCTCCCAAACCTGTGAACACATTACCTGTCCCATGTAGTTGCTCGGAATGCCACCCATGTTGTAATGCACTGTGGGTATAACAGGGATGGGGTCTCTGGTGACGTCCACACCAGCAAAGATCATGGCGGTCTCAGAGATGCCGGGCAGTCGTGTCTTTAGTGTCTCGGCTGGGAGGTGAGACAGCTGAAGGTAGACATGGTCCTTATCAGGACCTACACCTCTGAAACACAGCGAACCAAATCAAATTAACAATTGAGTCATGCTTTACATGTAGAATGCTTCACTGAGTTAAGAACATCCAGGAAGTTGGAAGAGCCTGAAAGAACCACAAGAGGTGCTCAAGACGCAGCTGAAAGCAATTCTTATGTTTCAGTTGTTTGACTTTGTTTCACTCTTATAAATCATGAGACAGACAGTTAAAAAAGAATAACTGACTGACAGACAGACCAAGACAGACAGACACTGTGACAGGTAGACAGACAGACAGACAGACAGACAGACAGAGAGACTGACTGATTGATTATTTTAAAACAATATGAAAATAGTCCAGGTACTGACCTTCCCTCTCTAATTTCTATTGTCATTGAACGTGATACAACATCTCTTGATGCCAGATCTTTAGCTGTTGGTGCATAGCGCTCCATAAAACGTTCTCCCTGAAAAATGGTAAATTTATCAAAACAAAGCAGAACTTCCTATTCTCTCCTCTACAGAGGTTCTATCGACGCAGCATGACCGGTGGAGACAGCGTGGCCGAGTGGTTAGAGCACTGGATTTGAAATCCGTAGGTTCCAAGTTCAAATCTCCTTCTGACCGTCAGCTGATGGTGTTCTCAGTAACCCCGAGTTCAACTTCTAGGCTGCGCATGTAAATAGCCAACTGGTCTGCCTCCCGCCAGTTGGGATTCTTAACCTAGTTTTGTATGTTGATTTGAATATTTTTTTATCATTGTTTGTTTACATTGGTCCTGAAAAGCCCCACCGGGGAGTGGCCAATTAAGTGTACATTTTTACACATTTCTCAAAGNAAAAATAAATACTGTACTTGTACATGTATATGAATGTTGAAAGCAGTGGAAATGCCACAATCCACATCTCAAATGAATACACTACAAAACAATTTAAGATAATAAAATACTTATAATCATCATTATTACTTACCCTGTTGCTATGACAGTGTTCTTTGCCCTGAATCTGTGTAGTGAGCCATCCTCAAGACACAATGCAATCACACCAATGCACTTTCCTTTGTCCATGAGAAGATCCAAAGCAAAATACTCCACAAAATACTCTGTGTTGTATCGTAAGGACTGAAACGAAATAATGATATTGGTTTTAGCTGAAAAGTTGACATGGCTAACAGAGAAACAATTCTGTAACTAAAGTTATCACCTGAATCCAACATTAGCAATAATTTATACAAAATGAGAACTCTATAACTACAAGAAAAAGTTAACTCTATTCATTAGTTGACTATTATTGGCAGAAAATGAGGCAGACTGTTGGGTTGATGAACTCTTTGTGTCTTATAAAATTTATAAGAAACTTTAAAGAGCTCATCAAAGCCCAGAACGTGTAGTTTACACAAACTACATTTAATGCAGATTGTGTAAACTACACGTTTTGGGCTTAGCCTCCTGTTCAACATAACAACTGAGGGCTAACACTAAAACATCTAGTTTACATGAACTATTGATTTGACACTTTAAAGAGCTTTTCCAGCCTTGAATTACTTTTTCATCATATTGTCACGCACCTTATGAGCTTTTTGCCCACTTCTACTGATAGAGCTAGAGGTGCTAGTTCATGATACAGTTTGGTTCTGAACCCATACTAAAACAATCACACTATTCACCTTGTTTTCTATGAACAACAGTCAAATGAGCTGCATCCTCTTGACTACTCACAAATAGAAAACTTGAGCCCATGCCAGTTATATTCAGTTGTGAACAGCAGCTGGGGTTACATTAATGTTTCCATTAGGAAGGCAATTGGTTTTTCACAGGCAGGCAAAACTTTTTAAACTGAAGTTCTTTATAAGAAAAACTTCATTAGATGGTCAAACCAGGTAGAAAAAAAATCATCCTCACAGCCAGTCAACTAGCCTGGTGCAGGACTGGTTCTTTTGGAAACACCTGGTGCAGTGGTATACACAAGTAGTGTAGGAACTTGCTCACTACTCACTAACCTGTCCGTACAAAGTGTGAAGCAGAGAGTGGCCTGTTCTGTCAGCAACAGCACAACATCTGTGTGCCTGACCACCCTTGCCATAATTGTAACTCTGACCACCAAATGCACGTTGATAAATTTCACCTTTCTCTGTGCGACTGAATGGCATTCCATAATTTTCAAGCTGCAATGAACAACCATGATAACACTCAAAAACAAATATATATTACTGGTTTCCTCCCTATGGGGTAAGGAACAATGATATCTTTGTTACATATTTGCTTTCTGTGACTCTTGTAGAGTACATTTCTCTGAAGAAGACAGCAGAAGGTGGTCAAAAATTCAGTTTTAACATTTTTTTAGATCTGTTTTACTCCTTCTTTAGAACTTTAATCATGGGCACAAATCGCTCCTGACCAACAGTTTTAAATATAATGACCTAACATTATTATTTGATATA